TTGAAGAGATTTTGTTGCTTCCATAGAATTTTTTTTAGCTCTGTGACTTTTTTCTCTCTCTCATCTCCCAGGTATTTTGCATACTCTGCATGTTTAGTTGAGTAGTGACGTTCGACGTTATACTCCTCGTATACAGCGATTTTCTCTGTGCATATAAGGCACGTTGCGTTTCCCCTGTACTCAACAAAAAAATATTCAGTCTCCCACTTCTCCTGAAATGTTCTGTGGTCATCATCGATTTTTCTTTTCCCTGAAAGTTTTGATGAAGACATGGCGATATATTTTGCTTCCACTCTGTGTCACTTTTGGATCACTCTGGATTGATTCCGCTGCGCGCATTTGATTGACGTGTGGCGGAGTTCCCTCGGAGGGGGAGGGGCGAGGGAACTCCGCGCAGCAGTTCCCTGCCAGCAGCAGCAGCAGCAGCAGCGGGAAAAATAAAATTGAAATATAAAGCGCAAACGTAAACGCGCGGGCCAGATTAACACTATTACATGATATCAACAAAGGGGCCATGAGAAACTGTCTCGCGGGCCACATCTGGCCCGCGTGCCTGGAGTCTGAGACACCTGGTTTAAATGCATGTTAAATGCCCAGCATTCGGCGCCACTCGATGACGTAGTATACTTGAAATAGTGGCTCTGCAGCAGGTATACTCGACATTGAGAAACGGCAAGAGTTCACTCCATCACGGAGGGGGAAGGGTGTGGTCTGGAATTGGGAAACTGTTTACTTCCTGTCTGTCTTCTTCTGTTTCCCCCGTTGGTGTTTACTTATCGGAGCAAAGACAATTTACAGAAAAAGATCTGGTGCTTCTCGCTTCATACTGTTCTTTTAAAAATAATGATTTATAATTGTGAGCATTCTGGCTCACACTATGGTTAAAAACTGACGAAGGAGAAGGTGGTTTGGGGAAAAATAAAACTTTTTATTTCCACGGAGGGGAAGTTCACAAAAAACACAATTCTAGTTAGGCCCGCTGATAATTGTTGAGCGTCAGCTTTTATAGGCTACTATATAAGTTACCTAATTTTGTCCTTAAACTATTAATGTGTGTTCTGTGTTCTTACAACACTTTAATCATATACTGGATTATCAAATTATGTATTTCAAATACATGAATAAATGAAATGAAAAGGTTTGGTCGAGCTCAGCAGACAGTCCAGGTGTGTGTGGCCTGCTGCTGGCTCTGTTCATCCTATTTCAAAATGTAACGCTTCAAATGGTGCTTTACAGCTAATTATTTTACCTGACAACATGACCAGAGAGAATACAATTGGCCGGACATCTACCGATTATTCTGGTCGAAGTCTGGTAAATACCAGCTGAAGGAAACACTGCTGTTCACATAACTCTGTTTTGCTTTGTGCTTTGTACTTTCAAAAGAATGCATCATGAAGTTCTGCTGCTGAACATTTCACAAATGATGACTGTAACAAATAGAACCATTGTGTTCTCTAATGTTTCAGTCGGACACTTACCTGTGCACAGCATTTTCGGTGCCAACTAGTCAAGATGCCTATATTGGTGAGTATATTTTCTTTAAAATCTTATTTCATAGTTTTTTGCCATTTTTATTTATTATCATTATTACTTTGATTTTATCTTTAATGTTATTAATCTGTGTGAATCTGTGCTGTCCTGTTTTTCATTCTTAGCCTGTTGCTGTTTAAACCACTGAATTTCCCCACGGTGATTAATAAAGGTCCATCTTATCTTATCTTATCTTATCTATTGAAGTTTGCAGAAAACACACAGTATGTAGCCCATCTTTAAATGCAACAGTCAGACACTGGTTAGCTCAGCGGTGAGAACAGGCTGTTCATATGTGACATGCTCCATCATATCATTCACATCCAACCATTTGGAAAGAGGATAGTCTTAGCTTTCCAATGATATCCCTATTGTGTTTTATTTTCAGCAAAAATATTTTACATGACATAATGATTGTTACCAAGACACCATTTTGAGAAAAAGGCCTTTAAAGTTAGCTTACCTCGTATTTTTTAAACTTAGGATCATATACTGTACCAGTGTTTTGTCTAGAAAACTGTAAACATTTTCATTTGATTATAAAGTTGTGTATATTTACAGGGACTGTAGACCAAGCACTTTTATAGACATCAGATAAAAAAACAAAAAGAGGTTTATAAAAAAAAACGCCACTAAAGATGTTTTGAGTTTTATTTTAGTTATTATTTTTTGTGCAAGGGATGCTGATTTCAAACCGTTGTTACGGCATTTCCTGTTTCTGCCAGAGGAGGGGGGGGAGTTGGTTCCAAAGCTTGCTATTGTTTTTAATTTAAGCGATAATTATTTCAAGAGGGGGCTCAAGGCTTAATATTTGGGGGCATTGCACCCCCTTAGGGCCACCGCTTGATTAGCCATGATTGGGACATTTGTGTTGGTCATAATAAAACTTGTTAGCAGGCTGCCCCTCTCATAATGATCAACAGGTCAACATATGTGCTCTTTGCTGCCCAGAACTGCCCAGGGACACAGAGTCCTTTCCTCTGTCTCCCCCTTTTAACACAGCATATATCAATTTAGGCACTTTCTGGACCAAAACATATCTTTAAAAAAAAAATAAAGAAACGTCATTGGTAACTACACAGTCCAAAGTCACAGCAGCAGTACTTATTGATGTAAAAATTAAGTACGATCAAGTAATTGACAAGTTTAGGCAGGGCACAACAAAAATCTGTTTGATGTAAATGCCTGTATGGATTTTATTTTAGATTTCATGAAACTGATGAATCTGAATACGACACAAATGGCCAGAGATAATTCATTCATACCCAAAGTGTGTTGAGTAGGTAAAGTATGTAATTAAATGTAACCTATTTCAGCCACAGTGTTTTCTCTTCTTCAGTGGACTTCAGACCTCATGCCAGTATGGACACAGTTCATCACATGCTTCTGTTTGGCTGCCTGACTCCCGTGTCCACCAGCAGTTACTGGTAATGTCACATTTCACACTGGTGCATTATCATGGATAATTGCAGTGCTGCCCACAGAACCTCCTGTAGCAGCACCTGTTAGGGATTGCATCGTTTTTTTATTGTATTAGTGGTGTGAAACGCTCCAGCGAAAAATATTACACACAATTTCATAGCTGGTTCAAATAGCTTCCAGTATGACATGTGGATGTTTGATTATAACCTTTAGTTTGTCAAAACTCACTAGTGTTACCAGAATCAATTCACTGCTATGTCATTTTTTTCTTCAAAGCAAATTGAAAACACTTGACAAAGAGTCCTCCTTTATGTCTGCTGACATGGTGGACATGCTGCTCACATCTTTTGATGCCAGGTGTACGATTTCAAAGCCCACAAATACCCAACCTATTTGCTATAAAGGTGTTACTTTCGGTGCACTAATGATCACCACCTCAGCTCTACGAAGCTTTGTATTTTCTCTCCTGGTATGATGTAACTAGGTGGACTGACACAGAGGCATGTTAGAGAGGTAATGTTAGGCTGTGCTGCAGACAGAACATGATGACTGGCTCAGAGGTCAGCAGGCAGGTGGGCCACTGTATCTGAGTGTGAGAGATAAGGGGTGTATTCACTCCATCTGGAGAGCAGTTTGGTGGCAGGTGAGAGGAGATGAGCCAAATGATGCAGGCCTATCTTACACTGTTTACAGAAAATGACACTAGATCCTACACATTTGACCTAAAGATCTACATCTGGTTTCAATTCGAGAAAAATATCTCAATCATTGACTTTTAAAGAAATCAAAAACGTTTAGATTGAATTCAATAAATAAACTTACACAGAGTTACGGTTAATGTTAGTGCCAAAGTAAACACGCATATGGGTTTTAGCACTTTGGTTGAGTTACATTCTTGCACTACTGTTAGTTGTCAGTAGATAACAGTAAATGTGGCCTTAGTCTCTTCCACACAGATTCTTTTTATAGAATAAAATCATGCAGTTTGCAGAGAGTTGCTTAAGAAGGGGAGCTCTGTGGCCTTGTATCTAACCACGACCAAGGCTACATACATGTTTTCTACTTTATTCAATTTGAATGTATATTTATTTACAGAAAGCCTTAAGGAGAAGAAGACTTGCAAGACTGCAACTGACATAACCCTTAGATCAGGCTTAGAACAACATGTAAAAACTGGGTGAGCATAAGACCAGGCGTAGGGGGTGCAACAGACCCCCATTACTCCAAATCAAAGGTTAGGTAGACACAAAATAGACTTTGGAAGAAGAGAATTTTGACTTTTGCAATGATATGTCAACTAGCCACTCGCCCTTATTGGCAATGAAGTTTGGCGACCACTCTGTCATCAGGCAGGCAGACATTTACTCTTTCCAGCAGCAGCAGCAGCAGCAGCAGCAGCAGCAGCAGCAGCAGCAGCAGCAGGCAGTAAACAATACATACACATACAATAAACTCTGATAAACCCAATGTACATTACCTGCTCAGCATCCAACAGCAGCAGACACATAAAGATACTACTGGCAAACAAAGTGGATCTTTTAGACCTAAACAGAGCTAAAGAAGGATTGAATACTAGACGTAAATTACTCCACAACCCTTAAGTACATTTCTATATACATTTTACTCATTTATTTATATTGCCCCCTTTTTGTTTTTAGTTACTCTACAAACTTAGTATGGCACAGTAACATACATCTAAAGCAAGTAACTGATACACCGCGCCGGCTGGTAAAGATTTCTATGAAGGCAGCTCTGGTGTGTCCTCGCTCATTGCTCCTCAAATATCCTTCCTTTCTTTAATCTGCACAGAGCAGAATAGCTTTGAAACGGTCTTCAAGATGGCCCTGGAGAGTGGCTTTCACTAGGTGCACAGATCCTGTGGGATGCACCCTCAGACATGTCTGCTCTGATTGTGTGCTTGTCCTTTAAAAAGGAAGTGACTGCCTCTTTGAATGCCCTCATATTCTATCTGTTTCTTTAATGAGGTGTTGACTGAGCTGTTTCTCTGAAGGGACTGTGGAAGTGTACAAGGCACCTGTGAGGATGAGGCATCCATTATGTACGCCTGGGCGCGGAATGCACCACCTACTAAATTACCCAAAGGTATGTTTGTTCAAGTATACGACTGAAAGTCATATTTATAGCAGATATACTGTGTTTTTTCACTACTATGGGGGACTGGTATTCTCTGGGTAGATAAAATGAGCGTAATCCCACAGCTAACAGTTCAATCTCCGGGCTACAGAAACGCTCCTTCACAGTAACATGTATCGTTTGTTCACATACAGTGCAATCCATCCTCCTTTCTTCTTACCGCTCAGAATAACGTCCCTGTCCGCCCGAACGCTCGTGAAGCCGGGGAGAGCTGTGTTGTTATCCGGGATGAGCGGGTGCAACCATGTCTCCGTAAAACACATGATACTGCACTCACGGTATTCCCACTGCGTCTTCGTCGACACGCCGAGCTCGTCCATCTTATTCCCCAAAATCCTCACGTTCCCCATTATAATGGCCGATACG